TATACTTTCTTCTATTTTTTCATCCTTTTGATTTTGTTGGACTGAATCTTGAAGTCTCATAGAGGCATTAGTTTCCACTTGTCCAATTCTAGCTTTTAACAAATTGTTTTCTTCAGTTAATTTTTGTACCTCCTTTTCCATTTGGCCAATTGTATTTTCTAAGCAGTTCTTTTCTTCAGTCAATTTCTGTCCTTACTTTTCCAAGCTGCTGACTCTCTCTTTCATGACTCTCATTTCTTTTCCCAATTTTTCTGCTACTTCTCTTATTTGACTTTTAAAATTCTTCCCGAGCTCTTCCAAGAAGGTTTTTGGGGCTTGGGACCAATTCATATTTCCCTTTGAGGTTTCAGAAGTAGGCATATTGACAATGTTGTCCTCTTTAGAATTTGTGTCACCACAATAATTATCTATGGTCAGTGTTCTTTTCTGCTTCTTGCTCATGGTGTCTGCCTATTTCCTGACTTTTAAAGTTGAGTCCTCCTGGTGGAGCACAGGGGCACTGTCCCAAGCTTCTTGTGTTGGGGACCAGGGACCTGGTCACTGGCTTTGTGTGCTAGGGCCTCAGGTGATGGCAGCTGGGGGCTCTAGCAGTCTGGCAGCTCATGCGGTGCCAAGCTGGGTTCCTAGTGGTGGTGTCTGGCATATGCTGAGGCCAGGTGAGGTTCTTCTTTATTTCCCGAGGGCTGTACTGAAGCATGGGGAGGTTTGGTTGCTGCAGGACATCTGCTCACCTGGGGCTGTGCTGAAGTAGGGGGAGGTTTGGCTGCTGAGGATGTCTGTCCACTCTAGGCTGCACTGAAGCACTTTGAGATCCACTACTGGAAGATGCCTGCTTGCCCAGGGCTGAGCTGAATCACATGGAGGTCCACTGCTAGGGGACACCTGCCCACCAAGGGCTGTGCCCTGAACGTGGTAGTTCTCTGAGCTGGAGTCTGCCGGTTCCCCCTGGCTTTGGTAAGGCATGTGGGTGTGCTAGGCTTGGTGTCTGCCTGCTCCACCATGCTGGTGCTCAGGATCGCCTTCTGGTTAGCAAAGTGGGGCTTGCCACCGCTTGCTAGGATACTTCCTGTCCTGGAATATGCTCCCCTTTTACCTTCGTGAAATGGACCTTTCTTGCTGATCTTCCAAATTTCCCAGGCTAAGAGACTGCTCCACCCCATCTTTCTGCTGGTTCTGCTGTTCCAGGATTTTCCCTGGGGCTCTATTTTCTGTTTTTTTAAGAGGTCAAAAAGGGAGAGTGATAGAGACTTACTGCTTACTCTGCCATATTGGATCCCGGAAGTCCTTGAGCACCATGGCCCATTTAAAGATGATTGTCAAAGTCCTACTCTAGCAGATACAGGTGAATTCAATGCCCCTTGTTTCAAGCATTAAGTAGAATGTAGGGATTTCAGTCAAGGCTTCATCAGCCACGTGACCAAGCTCAAACAATCAATCAGTCAATCAATATTTGCCAATTGCTTACCATATGCCAGGGACTGCTAAGGGCTCAAGTCTTCACAGAGAGATGAAGTTAATAACAAACCACCTACTTCCCAAAATGTAAAAAGTGCTTTGTAAATTATAAAATGTCATATAATGATAACAGCTAGTCTTTGTATAGACCTTTAAGGTTTGCAAAGCACTTTTAAAAATATTCCTCATTTTATACTCACAACAACCTTGGGAGGTAGGTATCATCATCATCATCATCATCATCATCATCATCATCACCATTATTCTCACTTTATAGATGAGAATACTGAGGCAGACAGAGGTTAAGTGACTTGCTCTGAGCTAGTAAATACCTGAGGCCACATCTGAACTCAGGATTTCTTGACTTCATGCTCAGCACTTTATTCACAGCTCCACCCAGCCAATTCTAAATAGTTATGGTCTGCACAATGTTGAACATATGTAATCTCATTCAATTCTTCCAATTACCCTATGAGATAGGTGCTTTTATGAATGTGAGGTACTATTAACAATGTGAATTAAAGCAGACGAACTGTTCTACACTGCTAATGCTATGCCTCCCATAAAACAAAACCTTTGGTGATTTAAAAATCTCATCATCTCGGTACTTTTCTACATGCCACGTGTTCCCTATAACTGAGAGATTACAAGTAAAAGGGTCAACAAAAATCTCACTGGTTCTACCATCATCTTTTACTTTCCAATAAGGATAATTTCGAAATAAAAGGTGAATCGTAGGATAGAGAAGTTATATTGCTAGGAAACTGTAGTGCTCTTTCTGAGGAAGTAAGGTTAGCATTGGCTGATGCTTATTACAATCTCCAGGTGTGTCTGCCTGGGTATCCCACTGACTTCACTGATAATTAGGGTGTTTTATTCAGAATATAAAATGCTACTACAAAAGAAATTTAATTAGAAAAGTGATCATCAACACAGCCACTATATAGGAATTATCTCATAATAAGATGAAAGATATGTTTTTTAATATTCTTTGGGATATTCTATGGGATTTGCTAAGAAAAGTTATAGAAAATTAGGACCTGATGTCATGTATGCAAAAGTTTCTTTTGAAAACGATTTTGTAGGTATTAAATGAGGCACTCCCCCAAATATCCTAGCATAAACTCTTTGATGTTTATGCCCACAACTTTACAATTTTAGTGACTCCACACCTTTATGATTTTAGTAAAAAAAATTAATGTGAGCATGTTGAAGCTACCACAAGAGGTAGTAATCATCCTGGAAGTAGAGTTGGGACTGACAGTCAGGAGGTCTCAGTTATATTAGTGTTAACTACTTCTGCCATTGACTGATTAGGTAACCTTAGACAAATCAATCACAACACCTCTCTGAGACTTTTTTTTCATCTGCAAAAAAGAGGGAGTTATGGTTCCTAAGGACGCTTAGCTGAAACTGTTCTATGACTAAAGAGGGCAATATGAAACACTGAGTGAGTGATGCAGAAATAATGCTGAGAAGTCAAATGGCACAAAACAAATCTAAACAAGATTTTCTGGATTCTTGGATTCAGTAAGCAATTTCATGGAGACAAGCATGGTTGGGTCTAAAGGTCACTTAGCTATACATCCATCATTTTACTTTTTTCAAAACATGGCAAATGACCGAAAAAGCATGTTGCCATCAGAGATTTCCCTCCCACTTTGCCCCCCCCCAAAAAAACTAAACACAATTTCCAGATCATCTCCTAGGGTCTAGCAAGGACGTAGCCCAGCGTCCTACACAATTTATCATCTGCAACTGTGGTTACAGACACACCTAACCAGTATCTGACGCTTAAAAAGGTAACCATCAATCACTTCCAGAGAAAAGGGAACTCGGAAATCAAAGGGGAAGCAATTGAAGCCACAAGTTATTTAGCAAAATCTATGCCCGTCATGCAATCACAGGCAGTGAAGTCAATATGGAAACAGAAATAGCACGTATGAACAGGTACACAGCAGTGAACACTCAGACAATACCCTTCGGGCCACTCCTCTACCATCAGGGCTATCTAAATTAACCCACAAATGGCATATTAGGGCCACAAGAGATCTGCTAATCTACCTGCTTATCTCGGTGTGAACTGAGGACAAGTTTTGCCATGTGAACTGCAAGCACAAGGCTGCAGCAGTGCTGCAGAATATGCATGCGTGCGTGCGCGTGTGTGTCTCTCCTAGGTACCATATTCCACAAGGTTTGGGCTCCAGAAGGCTTGACCCTCCTTGTGATTTCCTGAGAGGGTAGAGATTGCTGTATGAGGGAGTCTACTGATCTGTGTTCATCTGTGATTTGTAAAAGCAAGTAAAAAGGGACCTGGTCTGATGAGGAAGCCTGGACTCACTTCAGCTGCCCAAGTGATGATTACTGCCCTACTTGAAATCTATTTCCAAACTGACAACTCTTCAAACTGCCAGGGACTGAACAGTAAAGTTTGTTTTTGGCAAGCAAATTCCATATGTCTGAACTTCAGCCGGTCCTTGCAAATGACTGGAAAAGCAGAAGTGAGTAGCAGAAAAAAACACAGGTCCCACCTGTATTAGTTAGGATACCTATCCTTTATGGTACAGTGTAATGAGTCTGGCTTTGGCGTCTGAGGACCTGGGTTCAAATGCTGCCATTGTTACCTACTCCGTGTACAACACTGAGCAAATCCCTTACCCTGTTTGGGGCCCAGTTTCCTCAACAGCAAAAATGGAATGGGAATGGAATGGGAATGGAATGGATGATCTCTAAGGACCTGTCTACACCTAAATCTATGATCTCATCACTATATTTATCCCTATTATATTTTATCTTATTAAATTTATCTTCTTAGTCTAGCCCATCATGATCTTTTTGAATCCTGTTACCTCCCAACACAGTTTTGTGTCTTCAGTTTGGTGTGGAAGCACAAGTCCTCCTTTGAGAGGCTTCTCTCAGGATAAGGGGTCAGCAGTTCCCAACTATCCAAGTTTCCCCAGTGAAACCAGCATGGTCAACCCCACACTATGCATTTTAGGACTGCAAAGCACTCTTGCATACATCTCCTTGGGTCCCAATGACCACCCTGTGAAGGTAAGTATGACTGTTCTCATTCTCTGTACCTACACCACTGGAAAGGAGACAAATTCCTCACACACCCAGAGAAGAAAGGTTATTGCAATGACTGCAGGCTTCTCTCAACCTTTTTTTGTGAGAAGAAAACATTCCATTTCCCCAAATCCTTGAGATCACTTCTCAAAGGGATAGAAGAGGAGGACTCCTATTGGTAAAGCCCTTGGATGGAGAAGGAAAGGTCATCACTTCCCTGACCAGATGAAAATCTTGGCAAACTGGGACGTGGGCATGCCAGAGAATGGGCATGCTGGCGGCAACAGGCCAGGAGCTTTCCAAAATCAGATTTTGAGATACTGCAGCTAGAGAACTCTAAGCTACAAATCCTCACAGAGAACTAGCCGCAGGCCTTTGCAACAGAGATTTCCATTTATCTAGTGATAGAAATGACATATTTAAAACACAGCCTTCTTTTTTTAAACTTAAAAAAAAAATCAATCAAGTGTACTCACTTTTTGGGATTTTTAGAACCTAATGTCCAGTACTGGGCTAGGATATTTCTTTCACGAGATATTGTTTTCTTTGCCTGAAAAAATGTATGGTGGTCCACGCAGGATTTCCATAAGTTTTTGCAAGATCTATAATTTAGCATATTGAAGGCAATGATGTGCTCTCTGGCTTCATTCTGAGGGGAAAAACAATCTTGATTTAGGTTATGCAAAAAAAATTAATAATATTGGTAAAACATATCAATTCCTATTGTAATTACTCCCAAATAGGTAAGAATTGATATCACTATGCACTACACCAACAAGTAAAACAGACACCTCTAATTTCTTGAAGGGAAGGCCAGGATAAAAAAAAAAAGCACCACTTTCACACTTTTAAGTTGGTTTTGTTTAAATTACATGAGTCTCTGTGACAAGTGACAATGATGAACCTTTATTCATCTCCAGGCCACATTCTTTCCTCTTCTCCTTAGGACTTCCTCTACCCTACCAAAGAAACTCCTTCAACCTGGAAACTTACTCCACCCTGGACTACTGACAACGGAAGCGTGCTTCGCCCCTAGAGGCTCTCTCTCTGATTAGCCGGTTCCTCTCTGAACCTCCATTTTTCAGTAGGAGGCCCAGACCAACTAGGTTTTCTTTGTTCTACAGGCTGTACTCTGGACTCATCTTCACAGGACTTTTTCTACCCTGCCCCTAGCTCAGCCGTGCCCATCATCCCACCCCCTGCAGCTCCCTTTTATGTGTTTTATCTCGTTAGAATGTAAGCTCCTTGAAGGCAGGGGCTGTCTTTCTGTCTTTTTTTTTTTTTAATTCTCAACACTTACCACAGGGCCTGGCACAACTTTGCCGTGTAGGCTTCACGTATATGAGATCTATATGTGGAAACTCAACTACCTTCTATGCAAGCAACCCAACTTCAGATTCCCAGATAATTGCGGGGGGAAAAAAAAGCTTTGCTTAAGACTAACAGACCCTTGAGCTAGTGGATCCACTCAGAGAGAGAGAGACAGAGTGATAAATAATTTATCACTGTATTGTGGGAGTTCCATGTGGATTGGCATGTTTGTATGTGTGTATAAGAAAGGAAACAAATGGTATGTGTGTAATAAATGAAATATTTATACACAGAAAAATCCCCATACATGTTTTCTATGCATATGAATGTTAAACTTGTAGAGTTAAACTGCTGGAGTAGTTTGCCATTTCCTTCTCCAGCTCATCTTACAGATTAGGAAACTGAGGCAAACAGAGTTAAGTGACTTACCCAGTGACTCACGCTACCCTGAGGCTGTACTGAACTCAGGTCTTCCTAACTCTCTAGGCCCAGCACTCTACTCACGATACCAGCTAGCTGTCCCACAAACAAGATACACACAAGATAAATTGGGGGTAGTTTCAGAAACAAGATGCTATTAAATAGGCCTGGGAAAGGTTTCGTGGAGAAGGTGAGACTTAAGTTGGGATGTGAAGAAAGCTCGGGAAGCTGTGAAGCAGAGATGAGGAGAGAGGGAAGGAATGAGAGGAGGAGTGGGGTAGTGGGGAATGGGGCGGGGGGAGTGCCAGGCATGGGAGCGGTCACTAACCCAGAAATGCTCAGGATGACAGGAGGTCAAAGCTATAAGGAAGCTCGGGGATCGTTCAGACCAGGCCTTTCATCTTAAGGTCCAAAGTGAGGCCCAGAAAGAAGCAGCGACTTTATCGATCCTTGGTTTGAGGTACAATCTCGTTGAGGTGGCCTCTAACTTAACACTGCCTGAATAACTAACACTGAAAGACATATAATAAGCTAGAGACACACGATCAGCACAATAAACCCAGATCTACTTACGTGCTTTTGGTGTTGCTGTATAAAAAACTTTTTTCTTTTGAAGGAGATTTTTAGGATGTTCATCCTATAAAGAACAGATAATATAGCTCGTCAATGTAAGTAAAATCACAAACCTCATGACACAAGCACTTTGAAATTAAATTAAATGTTCTCCGCTTCCAAGTGAGATTTTAATTGAGCAATGGTAGAGGTAGTAACATCTTAGCCAACAGTAAGAAAAGGCTGAATAAAGGTAGACAGTAGAACGGGCCCATTAAGTTTTAATGAAAAAATAAACGCCAAATGACCAGTAGTGAGCATTAGATAAAATGCTCTTCTCCACGAAATCCCTATCTTTTCGTCACTCACATTTACTGAGGGCTGGAAGGTTTAGAGAACACTTTAGTCACAGAAACTTTAGAAGATGGGTATAAGCATCAGTCTACCCCCTTTTCAAATGAGGAAACTGAGGCTCAGAGAAAGGATAATTGATTTGCCCAGACAAAAAATACTAAGTATTAGAGATGGGATTCAAATTCAGGTAACCTAACTCTGTGACCAAAGCTCTTCCCATTATACCACAGCTTGGCAGTACAACATATAAAGTGTTGGACCTGGAATCACAAGAACTGAATTTAAATACAGCCTTAGACACTTACTAGCTGTGTGACCCTGGGCAAGTCACTTAACCTCTGTCTGCCTCAGTTTCCCCAACTGAAAAGTGGGGATAACAGCACCTACCTCCCAGGATTGTTGTGAGGATCAAATGAGATAATACTGATATAAACTTTAACATGCCTTATAAATGCTAGCTATTATTACAATCAAAATTCAATTCAAAAAATATTTGTTAATCACCTACTTACTCTGTGAACTATACAACAGGAAACCAAAAAGAGAAATCACATAGATCTGGACCTCCAGAACCTTACATTCTGCAGAGGGGTAACAAACGTAGATATGGATAAGTAAAGAGAAAACACTGACAGTCTAGGAGCTTTGGAAGGCTTCCCAAAGAAAGTAGCACTGGAGCTGGGTTTAACATGTGGATGAAGATTCTGAGAGGCAGAAAGGAGACGGTTGTGCATGCCAGGCAAAGGAGATGTCAATAGTGAAGGTATGGAAGGGCTTTAATGCCAAGTAGAAACATTTCTATTATGAGATAATAAGAAGCTATATAAGATTTATGAGCAGGGGAAGGACACAGTCCAAACCGTGCCTTAGAAGGCACAGTTTGGTAGTTATGGAGAAGATGGATTAGAGAAAACCAATTAAAAGGCTATTATGAAAGGTACATTAATGCACTGTTGGTGGAATAGTGGACTGGTCCACCCGTTCTAGAGAGCAATTTGAAACTATGTGTGAAGGGCCATAAAACTGCATAATTTTTGACCCAGCAATACCATTACTAGGTCTATATCCCAAAGAGATCAAAAAAAAAAAGAAAAAAGAAAAAGGACTTATATGTACAGGAATACTTATAGTAGCTCTTTTTGCAGTGGCAAAGAACTGAAAATTGAGGGGATGTTGATCAACTGGGGAATGGCCAGAGAAGTTGTGGTATATGATTGTGATGGAATACTACTGCGCTAGAAGAAATGACAAGCAAGATGATTTCAGAAAAACCAGGGAAGACTTATATGAACGAAAGCAAAGTGAAGTGAGAAGAACTAGATCACTGTGCACAGAAACAACGCTGTAATGATGATCAACTGTGAAAGGCTTGACTACTCTGATCAATACAATGATCCAAGACGATTTCAAAGGACTGATGATGAAAAAATGCTATCTACATCCAGAGAACTGATGAACTCCGAGGGCAAAATGAAGTACAATTTTTTCACTCATTTTATATTTTTTTGCTATTTTTTTTGCAATGTGGCTATTATGGAAATGTTTTGCATGATTTCTCATGTATAATTGATATCATACTGCTTGCCTTCTCAGTGGGTAGAGGAGGGGGTGAAAGAGGGAGAGAATTTGGAATTCAAAATTTAAAAAGAATTTCAAAGATAAATAATATTTTTAAAAGGCTATCATAAAAAATAATCAACTAAAAAAAAAGGCTATCATAATAATCTAAGCGAGAAGGTAATGAGAGTTTGAACTGGGACAGTGGCAATCCAAGTAGAAATAAGGGAACAGATGTGAGGGGTGTTACAGAGATAGAAATGACAAAGTGAAGAAGTCAGGATGATGCTGAGGTTGAAGACCTAGGTGACACAAAAGCTGGTGATGCCTTCAACTGAAATAAGGAAGTTTGTAGGAGGATCCAGATTAGAAGAGAAGATACTGAATTTCATTTTGAAAGTGCTGAGTTTAGAATACTGATAGGTCATCCAGGTGATATCCAGAAGGCAACTGACAGTGCAGGATTGGAGTTTACCAATTTTCTTTTGGACAGCACCATCTGGATGTCCCTCAGGCATCTCTAATTCAAGATGTCAAAAACAGCATCTTTCCTTCTCAACCCACCCCTCCTTCAAACCTTTACTATTTCTCACAATGGCACTACTATCCTTCCTGGCACTGAGGCTTGGTTGGTGTCATCTTTCACACTTGTCCTTCAATCAACCCCATCCTCGCCCCCATTCAATTTGTTGACACATCGCATCAATTTTACACCGAGACCTGTCCTTTTTCTCTACTTTCTGGGCCCTCATTGCCTCTCACTTGGACTATATCCACTCCTAATTGGACTCCCGGCTTTTACTTTCCCCTCTTTATAACATATGCCAAAATAATCTAAATCTGATAGTATTATTCCCTTGCTAAAGGACTTTCAGTCATTCTCTACGGCCTCTAGGATAAAAATACAAATCTCTTAGCTTGGCATTTAAAACCATCCACAATCTGTCTGTAGGCTTACCGACCTCTCCAGGCTTATTTATCATCACTCTCTTTCATGCCGTCTATGTTTTGGACAGACTATCCTATTTACTGTTTCTCAAACTCTGGTCTTCATGCCTTTGATAGGATGCACTTTCTTTTCACTACTGCTGTTTAGAATTCCTGGTTTCCTTCAACACTCAGTTCTTCCTACAGTAAGCCTTCCTTGATCCCCTCTAGCTGTCTCTAGTGCTTTCTCCCTTCTTAAATGATCATCTATTTTCTTATTTGTGTAAGTGTTGTTTCCCTCCAATAAAAAAAAAACTTCTTGAAAGCAGAGACTATTTTTTTTGGTTTTGTTTCCTGGGCACCTTGTGCAGTCAATGCCTTGTGAAAATGAAATGCGTCATAGAGACTTGTTGAATCAGACAGGAAAATCCTTAAGGCTGTGTTTTGGCTTACCAAGCCAAATATAAGTAATCAATAAAAACTTATGGTTATTTGAACTGGCAAAAGTTTTGCCTGGTAATGAGGCTGTAATTTACAGTAAGATATTTCTTTACTTTTTTAGGAAGCATAATTTTAATTAAGAGATAGCAATGCTTTAGTTCAGCACACACTTTGAAGCACAATTCAGAAAATAATTAGAAATGAATTTATCTTACCAAGGATAGAAACTTGTGCAGATATGTTTGCGGTAAACGGCAATGCCAGCTGCAGCAACTCCAATCGTCAGATCTAAATTATGCAGATCCTACAAAAGGAATATAGCATATTAGCAAAAAGCAGTCCTAGTCAAGGTCAGGAAAGCCTTTAATTTGAAATATTCCATATATTTACAAATAGTAACCTACATATTAACAGTGAAGAAAAAGTCATTACTAAAAAACAGCAAGGCTTAAAGGGAAAAAGTCAAAATATCCCTAGTTCTACACTGTTCCTTTAAATTCTGACACATTCCAGAGCTGAGAGGAATTAGAGGCTCCACTCTTTCTGAACATTCTCAGATAGAATCCCAATAGGTTTGAGATGATTTAGAGCTATAGAGCCCTAATAATTTAAACATCTTGAAGGTAGGGACTCTTCATATCATCTTCGACTACACTGCGTTGCTTAAAAATTTTTTTCTAATCTTTTAGTCCAACTTTATTAATTGATATATGGGGAAACTGAATTCCAAAGAGGTGAACTAGTTTTCCTGAGGTCACATACTTAGTAAATAGCAGAGACTTAATTCTAAACCAGGTCTTCGATCTCAAATTCAGTATACCAAATTGTAATGATAATTCCTGTGATGCTATTTTTGTTAATATTAATATTTTTAAATTCCAATACTTAATCTTAAAAATTGCACAATTACACATTCAATTACACTTTGACAGCAAATTAAATTAGGTTCTATAAGAAAAAATGTTGAACACCTATGTACAAAACATCATGTCAGGTAATGAAGATACAAAGAAAAAAATAGTTTCTGCCATTAAAGTCTGCTTTCTGTGGGAGAGAGCAGGAGATACAATATACAACAGGTAAGTAAAGGCAAAGCTTACAGAAAGCAAAATAAAAATGTAAAGATGGTGGGAACGTGATCAATTTAGTTGATAAGGAAAAGCATCATGTATTAGGCAGCACCTGAGTTGTGTTTTAAAGGAAGTTATGGGGGGCAGCTAGGTGGCAGTGCATACAGCACCAGCTCTGGAGTCAGGACAACCTAAGTTCAAATCCGGCCTCAGACACTTGACAATTACTAGTGGTGTGTCCCTGGGCAAATCACTTAACCCCATTGCCTAGCCAAAAATAAATAAACAAATAAAGGAAGTTATGGATTACAAGAAGCCAGGTCAAGAAAGGAGTACGATGGTATAATCCACCTATGCAAAGGATTGGAAGCAAGAGACAGAATGTGATAGAAAAGTGAATGCGCTGGTCTGACAAGAATAGAGAGTGCATAAAAGGGAGTACTATCAAGTAATACAGAAAGGTAAGAAGAAACTATATTGTGAAGCACATTAAATGCCAGAGTGAGGACTTTTGTTTCATTCTAGAAACAATAGCAAGCCACTGAAGATTACTGAGTAGGACAGTGACAAAGATTTTGTTTTACGAATATCAATTTGGTAGCTACTTAGAAGATGGACTGGACTTTTACCCTATTAAAAATGTTTCTGATAGCATGGGAAGACCCATATGAACTGGTGCACTGAAAGTAGTAGAACTGGAAAAACAAGGTATACAATGATTATAACTGTGTAAAAAGAAAGACCAAAAAACCAGAATGCTGTGTAATTACAGTGACAAAGTTTGGCCCCACAAAAGAATGCAGTTCCATCCCTTCTTCTGCCGAGGTGGAGGGCTACAGGTGTACAATACTGTATAATATTCTGTCACACATAGTTGAAGTGCTGGTTGATTTTTGCTGATGCTTTCTATCTTTAAAAAAAAAAAACTCTGTTAAAAAGGATGGTTTAATGGATGGGAGAGGAGGAAGGCATACAGTTTAAAAAGATGTTGACGTAAAAACAAAATATCAATAAAAGTAAGAAAAAAGAAAACTCCTAATTCTAATACTACCAAGCTTACAAGGAAAAAAAAGGATACCCTAACAATAATCCTGCTTCTTCTCAATTCCCTACCAAAACCCAGAATTGAAAAAATATTTTATCACAGACTTTTAGAGCTTCAAGAAACTCCAGAAATCATTTAGTCCAACCCTTTCATCTTAGAGGCAACTAGGGGCAAAAATGTTAGAGGGGAATTTGGCTGAGTGAAAGCTGGAATACAGAACATTTTTAAAAGTATGTGAATGTTAATTTTTAGACATATCTAATACTGTAAATATTGAAAACCCAATAATGTTAAAGTAGAAGAAGAAAAACTTTTGTTCTATCGAGGTTAACCAACTCATTGCAAATGAGGAAAAACCCTATTACTTACAAGGAAGATGCAAATTAACCTGGTTTAGTTTTGAATGAGCTTTGTTTTGTTTGGTGGAGAAGAAAAAAATAAGAGAGCTGGAAGAGAAAGCAAGCCACAGAAATCGACAGGCAAAAACAGCAACTGAGAGAAGCACACTGAGCTGCCATGCAGACTTTCATGGCACCACATCACCATCTTATGGCCTTTAAGGATATTGCTACCAAGGACGTTTAAATGAAAAGACCCCTGGGTTTGAAGCCTATGGGATTCATTATGCTCAAAAACCTGTTTTGAAAGGAACTGTGCATTTTTGTGTATTTTTATAGGTAATAATAGTAAGTGAAGAAAACAATGCAATAGTCGTTACCCTCAGAGCTTATACTCTATGAGTGGGGTGTGTATATATAAATATGTACAGAATGAATATACAAAGAATAAAGACAAGGTGGCACACTAGATAGAATGCCAGGAAGACTTCTTCCCAAGTCAAATCTGGCCTCGGACACTTACTAGCTGTGTGACCCTGGTCAAGTCATTAAACCCTGTTTGCCTCAGTTTCCTCATCTGTAAAATGACGTAGAGAAGGAAATAGCAAACTACTACAAATATCTGTGCTCAGAAAACCCCAAATGGGTCACAAACAGTCAGATACGACGGAAATTACTAAACCACAACAAATTAAACATAAAATGGTTAAGTTAAGATGGCACTAGAACGTGAAGGCTTCATGTAGGAAGTGGTGCTTGGGCTGCATTTTGAAGGAACAGAGGGATTTTATGAGGCAGAAGTGAGGAAATAGTCTATTTCACGCATGGGGTGAGGGAAAAAGGATGGCCAGTGTACAGGCACACAGATGGAAGATGACATGCCATGTGTAAGGAACAGAGAGAAGCAAAGGAGAGGGAGTGATGTTCAATAAGACTGGAAGAATAGGCTGAGGCCATGTTGCAAAGGACTTTAAAACCAAACAGAAGGATTTATGTTTTATCATAGAAGAAACAAGGAGCTGCTATAGTTTACTCAGTAGAGGAACAACATAATAAGAGCTGTACTTCAGGAAAATCACTTTAGTACCTAGTTATTAGCATAGTAGGTACCCTTATTATAGAAGTACTAGAATGCCAACAGCAGCCCCCCAAAAAAAGTAAAACAGAGAAGCCCCTTAGGAAGTTATCACAATAATCCAAGTGAGACGATAAGGACCTGAACTAAGGTGATGGTGGCTATGTAATGGGAAGAGGATGGAGAAGGGAGCTATGGTGAAGCCAGAAACAGCAATATCTGGCAACTGACTGGATGTGTGGAGTGAGGAAGAGTGAGGAGTCAAGAAGAAGCAAAGGACAAGGTTGTGAACTTAGGAGACTGGGAAAATGGCGGTGCCTCCAACAAAAATAGCCAAGTGTGGAAGGGGTGGGTCTCAGGACAAAGATAATGGGAATTGTTTTGGATGCCATGAATTTACTAGGACAGCTGGGACTGAAGATCAGGAGATTAGATATATCGATCTGGGAGTCATTTGCATAACAGAAACCAATCGAAATTGATGAGATGACCAAATAAGAGAGTATGGAGAGAAAAGATAAGGGTCATGGATAGAGTCAGTTAGTGGGTGTGAGACATGGATAATGATCCAGCTAAGGAGACTGATGGTTGGTCACAGAGGTAGGAGATGGCCCAGGCAAATCTAGGAGGACAAGGCGCTCAACAGTGTCAAATGAGACACAATGGTCAAGAAGAATGAGGACTGAGAAAAGACCATTAGAGCTGACAATTAAGAGAGCAACTTTGGAGACTTCAATTTCAGTAGAACAATGAAGTTGCAGTGAAGATGGGAGTCTGGGAAAGGGAGGCAATAAGCATTTATAAAGCATCTACTATGCACTAGGCTAAGTGCTTTTACAAATACCTCATTTGTTCCTTGGAACAACCCTGGGAAATAGGTGCTATTATTACCTCCATTGTACAGCTGAGGAAAACTGAAGCAAACAGAAGTTAAATGACTTGCTGAGGGTCACACAGCTACTAAGTGTCTGAAACTAGATTTGGACTCAGGTCATCCTGACCCTGGGTCCAACATTCTATCCACTGTGCCACCAGCTGCCTCTGGCAAAGTTATGCACACAGTTTGAGAAGACATTCGGTACTCCTGTTTGGGTAGTGCATAGGGTACTGTATAGGGCAGTATCAGAGGGTCATAGATTTAGGGATCTTAGAGATCATCTAATCAAACTCTCATTTTACAGATGAAGAAACTAAGGCCTTGAATAGCTGACTCCCCAAGGTCACATAGCTCATACCAGGCCTAGTTAAGATAAGAAGAAAAACCACTGATTAGGAAAACTTTCTGATAAGAGTCTGATACCCAAAGATATAGAAGGGGTTAATAAAAATATATATGACCCAATGGGTGAATGGCAAAGTATACTAACAAATAGGTCCCCAAATTTCAAGCTATTAAAATCACCATGTGAAAGACAGATCCAAATGACTAACAGTAAGAGAATGGCAAATTAACACAACTGAATAATTTACTTCACCCTAAGAAACGACAAAGACGAAGAATTCAGAGGAACATGGGAAAAATTATGTAAATGCAGGCAAGCTCAACTAATCAGAACAAGACAATAATGCACACAATATAAATGGGAAGAGTAATAAATCGGTAATGAGTAACGCACAATTAAAATACAACGCTTGGCCCTAGAGAATAACTGAGAAAATCTACCTTCCCTCTTTGGTACAAAGGCTGGAGAATGTAGATGTAGAACACTGTACATATACTGGCAGATATAAGGCAGCTAGCAAGGTGGGTGATGCATGGAGAGGTAGAGTCAGGAA